TCTTAACCATCATTACCTTTTTCCACAAGGACTAAAATTTACCTCCTTAATGCCCAAAACCTTTATACAATCAACTTCCGACCCGTGGATTTGAAACAAGAAATGACATGAAAAGGATGCTCCAAATTTTTTATAGAATATGTGTAGGTCAATGATTGTTTTTGACACATTTGGTGGCAGACCAGCTCAGACCCCTATTGGTAGAGCTCATTACATGAGGATGTGATAATCACGCGACTTTAACCCAATTATATTTAAATCATTACGATGAATCTTATTCTTAAGTTTCAATCGAAAATCGTCGGGTAGTCTCACACATCTAACAAACTAACAGAAACATTCCCGATTAATTCGGATGTGGTGGATAACTTTTGTTGTTTTTATTTTGTAACCATAAATTCTCTCGAATACCCTATTTTTCCAAATCTTATATTGCTTTGTGCATATCGTTTGATTTTTCTTTCCTCAATAAGTACCCAAGAAGCTATCGCCCACATTTTTCTACACATGTATAACATCTAGATTGTGTTTTAGTTTGAGAGAAGACCAATATTCAAGCTCACGCACGATACTCTTTTTGGTACAATTTAACTCTGACTCGGGTCACTTTCTTTTTACACCACCATAATCGTTAGGATGTTTCCTTGTATACGATCGGGGAGACAGTCTAGTTGCTTTATTATTGATGCATTACTGTATCGTCTGGGAGGGTTTCTTGACTCTATTTTGCCATTAAACATTAAAGGTTCCCTAAATTTATGCTTTCTATGTAAGAATCGTTTGTGACCAACATTAGCTATCTTGTTGGTTACAGAACATGAGGGTGTATCTTAATTGCAAGTAGCACACACATTATAACCTTCACCATGGCATCCAGACAAACTTCTATGAAAATGATAATTATTAATACTCCACAATAGAATTTCACACATTGTGAATAGAGTGTGTGTTGATACATCTCTCATTTAAAATCCTTCGACTCATAACATTTTCAACTCGTCCACCAAAGGCATCAAGAAAACATCAATGTCCTTCGCATGTGATTTATGGCCATGAATTAGAAAAGTCAGTATGAAAGAAGAATATTTCATACACAACCATGGTGGTGTATTGTACGTTGCCAATACTACAAACCACATACTATAAGGCTGATTCATGTTGCTCAATGGATTAATGCCACTAGCAGCGATACCCAAGCAAATTTTTGTAGGTTCCTTAGCAAACTCAGGATATCATTTTTCAAATGCATATCATTCCTTCCCATCAATAGGATGACACATCATACCATCATTTGAACACCGAGTATTATGCCAAATCATATCTTTTGCTGTTAATATGGAACTATACCTTTGATGAAGCTTGGCAGTCAAAGGAAAATAACGTAACACTTTTTCTGGAACTTTCTTCCCCTTTGTGTGTTTTTCAACTCACTTGCTCTCCTTCCAAAACAGAGCATAATCATTAACACAAGCATGGATAGATTGATATTCCAACCCGATATTTCTCAACTTCTTTATAGCTTCATAGTGTAAAGAAGGAATCTTATTTTCTTTTGGGATTTCAAATCTTATAAACCCTAAAAATTGGTCAGGTGAACTGTCTGTTGATGACTTTAATGTGCATCAATTTTGCTACGAAGTTTAGGGAAGATATCCAACTGCAACCAGGGTATATTTTGGTATTGGCCTCTTGAAACAATGCATCAAACTATAGGTCTAAACTATTTACTTTTTGGTTTATATTTTATATATGTGGATTTTCCTCTGCCATAACATCATCTATTATATCAAACATCTCTTCATGTTGATCTTCTTCTGCCACAACTCTAATACTACGATATTTTGAAGCCCAAAGTTTGTCTAAATCCGAAGGAGGATATTCCTCACCATGATAAATCCATATTAGGTATGATTCTTCAAACCCAAAATCATGTATGTGGGTATAAACCATAGTCACAATATGCCAAAAAATATTTACACAATATGTTCACATGCAACACGTTTTCCCTTCATCATCGACATGGTCCTTGGCAATCTCTATAAAGTTGTTAAGACATTTTATGAATTCTGGAGACCTTCGATTTCACAATGTAATCCAACTCCTATCAGTTGTCTCAGTTATTTCATTATTAAGAATTAGAATGTATGCATATTAAATATATGACTAATTTGTTTGGATTTAGTTAGTAAAAGTTAGATTGTATTCTGGGATTTGAAATTTAAATTATGTATAAGCCGAAAGAATCATAATGGTAAAGTAAAAATCGATGATTCAAAAAGCAGTATCGAAACATGAATATCCACAAGAGTATGCTTCTAAACCCACTTTTTGAATACAATATCTCATATATGAATGTATATTACATGATCGACCATTTAAGAAAATTTTGGTAGCATTTCCCCTTAGCTACTAAGTATATATAAATCTATACTCGATGAGTAAAGAGAAAGTAACCACCGAATCTTTCTTAAACAATGAATCATATAATACACAGTCACATCCTAAATGAGATAAAGTTTTCAAAAATCAGTTCGAAAAATGGGGACAACCCGAAATTAATTTCTAAATTACTTTTGCATGGGTATTTATAGACTCTTGATGATTTAAAAGGATTAAACTTAAACTAAAACGTATTTTTTATTATAGCATTATAGTTTATATAATTAAGTTATTACATTATAACTTAGTAGAATTAATGTCTTATATTTTTCGTTTTTATTTATTTTACTATTATATTATAACATTTTACTTTAAATAATTTACTAGAATTGTAATATATTTTTATTATTTATAACATCTTACTTTCCTATATTTTTATTATTTATAACATCTTACTTTTGTTTTTACTTTTCTATTATGGCATTTACTTTTTCATAAATTTTTATTTATAGCATCTTATGTTTTTTTTCAATTATAGCATCATACTTTACATTATAGCATTCTAGATTTATTGCTTCACATTTTTTTAACATTCTACTTCTACTTTACATAATAGATGGACAAACTATCAACATCCACATTAACATACTTCAAACACAATAATTTTCCAGTTTAACAAAATCAAAAAGTTAATAGCATAAGTATTATCCAAATTAACAAAATCATACACAACCAAGAACTTTATAGCTTGTATATACATAACCCTAAAAAGGGACAAAAGAGGGAAAAAATCAAACAATATATACATAAATCAATTGATCTAGTTGTATTGTTTTACTTTTTATAGCATTGTACTTATATTTTAGACAAAAAAGGGACAAAACTATACGCCTACACATCCACATTAACATACTTGCACAATAATTTTCACGTTTAACAAAATCAAACAATAAATGGCATAAATACTATCCATATTAAGAAAATCATACACAACCAATAACTTCACAACTTCTATGTACATAAATCTATAGCACTAAACATAACCCTAAAGTTTCACAAAATTTCAAACACATTTAGACTAATTATTTATGAAAAAACATAGCCTAGTCACAAAAATCCGATTCATAAACTTTCAAAGTACACAAATCATAGATCAAACTTCACTACCTGTTGAAGAAGTGGAGTACACCGAAAGCAGAAAACCACCGTTCGCCGGAAGTGAGAGTGTACCGACATCCTGTAACAATGGCATATTTAGAAAACTGAATCGATAGGAGTTAGAAGGAAAATGTCGGAATGAAAGGTTGAAGGAGTATATGGAGGAAGAAGTGATGGTGTTACCTGGTCGACGTGTTGTCGACGAGAAATTCGCTTGAGAGCTCAAGGGAGAGAGAAATGAGAGATGATTGCTTGCTGTGTCGACAAATGGGGAAAAGAGGGTTTCCCCCGTTTCCAATTAGGCTAAACCGTATAGGGATGACTTGTCGTCCCTGTAGCTTTCTTCAAAATGATGTTGTGCGTTCTTTTCCAGATAAATACATTAAAAAAACTATATATTTAAATTTAATTATTTTTTGGACGATATATCGTTCCTACAGCTTTTCGGATACCTGCAAAATATTTTTTTGTTCTCGCTCAAACAATAAAGACGATTTATCGTCGCTTTAGCTTCAAAAGTCAAACATAATTTATCAACCCTATTGCGATGACATGTCGTCCCCATAGGTCCTCTTTAGCAACGACATTTATCGTCCCTATAGTTTTGGTCGGTGTAGAAGTTTATTCTTCTAGTGTGTAAAGTTGTAAACAACAAGACTCCTGGATTTTACATGGTCTACTTCTCTAGATTTTACATGGTGTATTTTTCTTGAGTTCGCTCACCAGCATTACCCAACATATTTTTGATAGGGTGTAATAGCTATAAATGATGTTCAATAGTGGCTTATGCAAGAGATATGTGGACCGACTTAGGCTTTAGTTGTAAATTCGTTGGGTATTGTTCTGGAAACCCAGATGCACAATTGTGATGACAAGCCAACTTTTTCTGATCAAATATTTATATTTCAGTTTTAAAAATTACTAGTTAAACATATATATGATATTCGTTTGTAATTTTGTATTAGATTTTTCTGATTACTCAATTTTAAATGTTTTCGTTTAAATCTGAAGTTATTTAACACCTGATTACTCAATTTTTTTTTGAAAATCTATCACTAAATGATGTTGGTCGGAATGTTGTTACAAACATGTCGGTCGGAAATTTATGGGAAAAATAAAAAAAAGTCAAGAAAACTGTCCAAATGTCCTTTTTATCTGAACTAAACTCAAACATAACCTTTTTATTAGGCAAACTTGACACGATATAAAAAGCATTTAACATTTTCACAAAATAAAAACAAAAAAACTTAGGCAAACTTGACACCACATAAAAAGCATTTAACATTACCACAAAACAAAAACAAAAAAAACTTACGTGCTTCATAAGGTCCCATCGGCCCATAAACTTTTAGACGAGTTGATCGATCTACTCCACTTTATAATTTTGTGTTCAAGCCTTTGTTTAAGACATGAAACGAAATCTGAAAGTTTGATGATCATGCATTGTACTTTGCTATTAAGTTTCACAGTTTCCTCCGGATGTAATATCCCACAAACTTAAAGAAAACAAGTCTCCATCTGTTCTTAAGTACCAGAATTGCTACAATTCCCATAAACCCAGTTGTGAAACCGCCTGTTGCACCATAAATCCATATCTTCTCATCGCTATCATCGTCTTCATCTTCCTCAGAGTTTCTTCCAGTTCCTGGGACATCATCATCATGGTTGCACTTGATCGGCAACGGATTACCGCAAAGCTCACTATTGGCAGCATATATGGATGGATCAGTGAGTGTCTGGAGTTGACTTCCTGTTGGGATTCTTCCGGATAAATTATTGTGTGACAAATTCAGATAGCTAAGAAATGTCAATGCCGACAGACTTTGTGGGATCACCCCTGAAAGTTGGTTTATAGAAAGGTCAAGAGACTCTAACGAATTCATATCACCAATTCTATCTGGAATACGACCTGTGAGGTGATTGTTAGACAAGTTAAGACCATGCAATCCCAAAAGAAGTGACAACTCCTTGGGTATTTCCCCCACCAGTTTATTGCTCGAAAGGTCTATGTTGACAACATATCTCAATGTCGTTGTATACTCTAGCACAACTCCTTTCATAACCTGGCTCAAACTCAGCTCGTATGAGCCTGAAAAAGAAATACTGTTGTCGCCTCCTGTGATCATTCCACTTAAGTTCTGGAAACAGCGAGGGATGGTTCCTGTTAACTTGTTTTCTCCAAGATCCATGATTTGGAGGGTGGATCTTTCACACAACTCTACAGGAATTGGACCTGTGAAGCTGTTTTTATGTAGCCTGAGGAAAACAAGCTCCTTCATATTTTCACCAATCCATTTTGGTACGCTTCCAGAGAATCTGTTTTCACCCAAATCCAACAAAACTAAATTTCTGCAATTTGCTAAAGTTTTCGGAAGTTCACCTTGGAAACTGTTGTTGTTTAGAGCTAACCAATCTAGTGAAGAACCAAGATTGCCAACTGAGCTTGGAATGACACCCGAGAGCTGGTTGGAACTTAATGTCAAAACATATAGGTTTCGGATACTTCCAAGGCAATCTGGAAAAGTTCCCGATAGCGTATTTCTGGAGAGATCGAGAATAGCTAACTTTGTAATATTACACAGTGATTTTGGAATCGATCCATTAAAAAGGTTGTTCCTAAGAAGTAACAATCTTGACTGTCCAGGGTAAGTTATCGTTAAATCCTGGATTGTTTGGTTAGATGGAAGGTTTGTCAATGGACCATTAAGAAAGTTATGGGAGAGATCCAGCGTCATCATGATTGGGAGCTCGCTAAGCCAATCTGGAAGAGGTCCATAAATGCTAGTATTAGAAAGGTCTAGATATTCAAGACTTGTTTGTGCTCGAATCCATTGTGGAAAGTCTGATTCAATTTTGCAAGATCCAAGTTCAAGTTTTCCTATTTGGAAAGGAGGCTTCCAATCAGGTGAAAACTTGAAGCTCAACTTGTAGTTTGAGGTTGCATCAAAGTATTTTAACATTGATGTATTTGAGAAATGGGCTTCAGTGACTACATCAGATAAAGAATTGCCCGATATATCAAGAGAACTAAGTTTGGAAAGTTTTCCAATGGTAGGAAGAGGCCCTTGTAAAAAGTTATAAGGCGCATGAAGAGAGCGGAGCTCCGAGAGGTTTCCTAGTGATAATGGAAGCCCAGACAACCAATTGAATTCGAGATACAAGTTTTGTAGATTCGATAGTCGTCCTAGGGAGAATGGAATTGTCCCGTTTAACAGGTTTGAAGATAAATAAAGATTTTTTAACAACAGCAGGTTTCCAAAAGATGTAGGAATCGAACCAGTTAATTTGTTGTTAGATATATCTAATTCCCGCAAACTTGTTAAATTTCCTAGAGCTTCAGGGATGGTTCCTGTTAACTCGTTCCACCCAAGATTCAACTCTCTCAAGGCCGTAAGCCTTCCTAGTGATGTTGGGATTTCACCAACTAACTTGTTCTCATATAGATTCAGTGTCTCCAGAGAAAATTGGGCACATTCGGATCCATTGCCATTGGTAGATGGCCCCATGAATCCCCCTTCCATAGAATTGAATGAAAGATCCAGCCGCTGTAACTGACAGAGTCTCCAGACCCTGGTATCTTGAATACCTGTAAACCCATTTTGTTCAAGGTTGAGGTCGACAACCTTTTTCATGACTGGGATTGAAGAATTGAGTTCATTGAACGAAAGATCAAGAACTTGTAAAGACGTCAGGTTTTGTAAAAACAGAGGGAATTCGTCTTGGAGAAAATTGGAACTAAGATCAAGTGTGTGAATTGGAGAAAGCGTAAGATTCGATTCAAGATGCATGCCATAGAAATGAGGATTAGAAAGCTCACATCCCGACAAGAGTAACACCTGTAAAGAAGAAATCATATACAACAGAACTTTGTTGAAATTTGGAGCTTTAACAACACTCAATCCGCTCAGATCGAGATGTTTGAGTGACAAAAGGCTTGTAACCCATGTGAAATCATCAACGACTAGATCCATGTAACTGAGATCAAGCACACACAAATTCGAAAGATTTCCAATAAAATGAGGAACAATGCCAGAAAATCCCATGGAAGAAAGATTCAGAAACCTGAGTTGTGTTAGCTCGGCCAAAGAGGACTTCAACTTATTTACCCTTAACATCTCGGCAAAACCCAAATAAGGGCTTCCAAGGTCAAGGGTAGTTACATGTCCGGTTGCATTATCACAGCCAACCCCTTGCCATTGGCAGCAGTTGTTTCCACTCCAAGATGATAGTCGACCAGAAGGGTCTGATACAAGGCTGCGTTTGAATCGGAGAAGAACTTCCCTCTCTTGTTCGTAGCAACCAGAAGCGAGGTTTGTGGTTGCAAATGTGAAGAAGAGAAGGAATTTACCAAGCCATAACTTCCTCATGATTGTTGTTTCTTAACGAAGACACCATTGACGAGGTCAAAATTTATAGATATATGGTTTTGGGAAAAGAGACTCACAGTCTAGCTAGGCAGAAAAAAATATGTCTTTTCCATGCAGATGAGACGTACTATTCATAATTTACTTTTTCCCTAAAGCTTCCACTAAACCTTATCGCGTTACTTTAAAAAAAGTATACTTTATATCAAACATCCATCACAGAAACATTTTGTTTTTTCTGAAATAATTATAAGAGACTCATAAAAACAAGAGCGGATGGGGACAATATTCAAGCGTGTGGTGGTAAACTAATTAATAGTAATTAATAATTAATGGCCATGCATAAACTTAATACTATTAAATATTATAGGTACTATTAAATATTATAGGTGTGAGTCAAGTGTATTACACGGATTGATTTAAAATAAGATTAAACATTAAATTAAAGTGTAAACATAAAATATTTTTTAATGCACAATTTTAAAATAAAAAAGGAAAAATGTATTTCTTGCAATTTAATATCATATTATGATATTTAATACTTTATATATATATATATATATATATATATATATATATATATATATATATATATATATATATATATATATATATATGACTTCAATTTTAAAATATAAAACAAATCAAAATTTGTAACCCTCTAAAACTTTTCAAAAATAACCCAATTTCATTAAGTTATTACAAAAAGGTTTTCAATACATTTATTATCAGAGTGTTCACAGAACCATATCATAAAACATAAACATGAGGAGCGGTACGTTCACACCTTTGCCTTGCCACGATCTCCTGAAATACCTTAAACATAAAACCATAACTGTAAGCCCGAGAGCTTAGTGAGCTACTCCCAAAATACCAACCACATATACCATACACATATCATAAACATAACAGATAGCCATGCACTTCGGGTTTACTGTGTGACTGGTCCGCCGCACCGGGCCTTCAGTCCACCTGGTCCACCCTCCGAGTCTAGCCATATACATCGAGTCTACAGTGTGATTAGTCCGCCCGCACCGGGCCTTCAATCCACCTGGTCCACTCTCTGAGTATACAATGTGACTGGTCCGCCCGCGCTGGGCCTTCAGTCGGCCTAGTCCACTCTCCGAGCGTCGACACGTCTGGTCCACCCTCTTGGGGCCTACAGCCTATCCGGACCGCTCCTTGGGCCTTCGGGATAACCGGTCTGCCTTGGGTATGTTGGCCTGCAGCACAAAGTAGGACCTGCCTCAACCCAACCCCAGTCTAACAACCATGTGCACATAAACATATAATCATATAACAATTCACAATTAATCAATCAATCTAGTAGATCACATACATAACACATCCCTACCAGGGTACCGACCTAACCGGTCACTAGCATAGCATCATCCTATAAACCAGGATACCGAACCTAACCAGGTCTCTAACATATACCATCCCAACTACCAGGATGCACACATAGCAAAACAATAACATAACAAACAACTACCCGGATTTCCATCCGATAAAGGGCCGACCTTAGTGCCGTAGACCCTGTTAGTATAGTGAGGATAACTCACCTCGCAAATGCCAAAACTCTGAATTGAAGAAGCAGATTCCCGAACCATCATCTCACCAAAAATCCTGAACTATCCAAAGCAGCAAAATAATCATTAGTCCAAGCACAATATCCTTCCAAGGGTAAATTGACCAATTTACCCTTAACGCAATCTGGTCCATAACTAAGGCCCACAATCAAAATATGAAAGGCCCAACACTAGGTAAGCTCTCAAGCCCAATAATGACCCAAAGACCAAAAGTCTGAAGCATAGCCTAATATTGGCCCAATTTACTAAATTAGGCCCATCCCACCTCAAAAAATGGGCCTAGATCCAAGGTCCATAATAATTAGTGGGTCCAAATTACTCCATCCATAATGTCTAGGCATGGCCCAAGCTCTATTAGCCCAATAACAGCCTAATCTCTTAAGGCCCAAAATGAAAACTCAACAGAGGGAGTACGATGGGCGTACATCAAATTTCGTGGGTTGGAATCGGGGCACAGACCCACTACGCTGGGCGTACATAAGATTATGCGGGCGTAATCTCGCCGAACATCAAATCCACATAAGCTCTTAATGGCTTAAGCTCTTAAGCCCAAACTTCAGATCCGTAGGCCAAATATGCCTAGGATTCATAAAGTCTCAAACTTTATTACTTGGGACATCCATAAAGCTCTTAACCCAAGGTCATAATCCATTAAGACCTACCTATCTCACATATGAGACAACTAAAGCCCTTGGGACCTCATTTTTTGTTACTCAAGACCTCTCTCAAGGTCTGAAAGGACAGCTAATCTCGACCAACTCGAGTCATGCATCAAGATGAGGTTTCTGGGACACGAATGGTGCCAAAACTTTACAACACATAGATCTATACAATAGGATTGTCAAGCTATAGACCTTTTACCTCAAAAGGGCTCTAGAAGATGATACCTCTCCAGATCTACGAGCTCCAGCCAATCAACCCCTTCCTTGACAACTTCTTCTTTCTTCTTCTTGGCTCTCCTTTGCCAAAACAATCTTTGCATGGTCAAACACACCCAAAAATGCAGGTGGGACGGCTATCTAGGGTTTTCTGAGGGCGAGAGAGTGTTTATGAAGGCTAGGGTGGGAACCATTATGTTCCTTTTATAGTTGATGTCCCTAAAATTAGGGTTTCTGGATGATAGACGTACGTTGGGCGTACATCCAATACGCTAGGCGTATGTGACAACCGTCAATTTTCGGTCAAGTCAAAGTCAACTGAAGTCAAAAAATCAAACCGTTTGACTCAATTTACCCGTTAGTACTGGAATTTACATTATGAAATTTCTACACAACTCTTTATTCTAATAAGAGATCATAAATCAAAAAGTGCGAACATCTAGATCTCCTTAACCTAAAATTGTGGTACGTGGAGAGCTATACCAATAAAACAATGTTACATACTTATCGGGAGTGTGTAAGATCCTTAAACAAGGCTTAACAGGGTTTACGAACCTTGCATTGCGAAGCCGGACACTTACAAATGCCACACATGTAACCTCTCTCAAACATTTTCACTCTATCTCTTCTTATCAAGAATCTCTCCCAAATCTCTCCAAGTATGTGAAATCTCTCTCAAATATCTCTCTGTATGAAAAATCTCTCCAAGAATGTCAAATCTCTCCCAAATCTCTCCAAGTTTGTGAAATCTCTCTCAAATATCTCTTTGTATGAGAAATCTCTCCAAGAATGTTAAATCTCTCCCAAATCTCTCCAAGTATGTGAAACCTCTCTCGAATATCTCTTTGTATGAGATATATCTCCAAGAATGTCAAATCTCTCCCAAATCTCTCCAACTATGTGAAATCTCTCTCAAAAGTTTCCCGTAACTTTTTAGAATCATTCGGGTCATTCCGACCCTTAACCGGGTCAAAAACGGCTTAAAACGGGGTAAAAACGAGAAAAATGGACCTTAGGAACCGAAACCTCCTTATAAGAGAGAAGCCTCTTAGGACCCGAAGGTCCTTTTAGGGACCGAGAGCAAGGAGGAGCCGAACCCGAGACCAAGGAGGAACCGAACCCGAGCCCAGGAGGAACCGAACCTCACCCAGGAAGAACCGAACCCGAAAGGTCCTCTCAGGACCGAACCTCGCGCACCACCCGAACCCAAAGGTACTGTTCATCTACTGTTCATTCGGCTCATTTCGGGTCTGACACCTTCGCCTCTCATCTCCGGATCGAGCCTTCCCTTCGCTTCCTCGCCTCCTCTCGCTTCCTCGCCCCCTTCGTTTCCCTCTGTTTCGCTTCATTCCGGATTCGGCCATAGCAAGGACCGAACCTCGGCCTAGGACCAAGAGGTCTCGCTGGGAATCCATTTTTTCCCGGTTTTTGCGTAGTTTTGCGTTTAAGGCCCGTTTTTAATTATTTTAACGCGGGATTTTCACCCAAAATCATATTTTAACATAATAAACCCTAAATATTCACAATTTAATCATATTTTCATAAAAATCTTTATTTAAATAATAAAAGCAAGTGGGTAAAGTACAAAGAGGTGGAGTGTTGACTTTGCTTTACCTTATGACACAAGCAACCACTCCCACACCCACTCTATGACCAGCCACACCTCCCCACCTTACCTAGGTCACATCAGTGTCCTTTCCACTCAATTATCACTCTTTCCCACGTTTGTGAGAGCTGAATATTCATCATCTCTCCTCACTTCTCTCATTTGCTCTCATTTCACCAAGAAGATCAAACTCTTTCCTCTCTCACTTTCTCTCTCTAGAAATTCGAGATTCAAGGACTGATCTTGGGTTTTTCCTCCACATTTGGTAAGCATAATCCATTCTCCTTATGATTATTTCACTTCTTATACTCAAATCATGGATATGTTACACAAACTCCATCATAATTGTGTTAGAGCTTCGAATCTTCAAGTGATTCTTCAAGTGTTCTTGGGTTGAACACTTCTCTTCTTCAACACTTATCTACTGAAATCACTCAAGGTCAGTTCATAACCCTACATTTTCATGTTTTCTCAAGTTTTCAGGGGGGGGAATACAAGTTAAAACACCAAGAACATAACTAAGTTTTTTTCTAACAGCCTTCATCAGAAAAGTTCAACTCCATTCACGGACTGTTTTGGGCAACTTAAACATTTTTGTTTTCAAAACTGTATAAGGTGCTAATAGTTCAAGTTCTTAGCTTTAAAATGACTACTTGCACATCTCCATACGATTTTTCTATAATTTATGGTGATTTTTACAAAACTGCCTATCATTTCAAACAACAATCCGGACCAGTCTGTGATTATGGACTTAAGTGTTTACCCCTCAATCGATGTGTCGGTTAACCACACACGCTCCATCGATACTATGATAAACATTAAGTTACCCTTCGCCTACCTTTTTAAATACGAGTTAGTGTGCCGGTTAACCACACACGCTCCACTAACCGACTTAAACAAAGTGCAAAGTGTAATTTCATGGATTAGCACCTTATTCACATTTTTCTAAGTAACTAAGATTGGGTATTATTAAAAGTTTAGTTACTTAGTATTTATCATTAATAATTTTAATGAAGGGAGAATTATAGTCCTGTCAAACCCGTTCGGCTAACGACCCTCCACCAGTCAAGCAAGCGGTGGGTGAGAGTGGACACCCATTAAGTTGCCATTTTATAGGCAACAACCTTATACCCACCTTATAGACCGGCTTCGTGAATGAGGCGTACTAGCGGTAAGACCGACTTTACTCTTATACATATATATATTATTGACTTATAATATTATAAAGTATAAGGGTTGAATTTTAACTTTTAAAATTCTAAGGGCTAACTTGGAATTAAAGTATTCATAAGAGAAAACTTTACAAATTCCAAAACTTGAGGGCAAGTTTTGAAACTATTCAAAACTAATTAATTCCATAACTTATGTGTTTAAAGTAGTTTTAATCCAAAAACTCTTCAAGTTCCATAACTTGAGGACAAATTATGGAAGACTTTAAACTAATAAAGAATTAATCTTTTCTTTATTTTATAACTTATGGAATTAATTAAGGTTACATATTTTATTTATTTATTTATTAATGAAGTGACTCTTGAACCTCCATAACTTAAGGACAAACTCTTCATCTTTTGTAACCTTTGCCAACTTTATGAGTTTTATGAGTCTTTAATGTGACTCTTCATGTAACTTAAGGATAAGTTACACAAACACATTTTATACTCAACTCTTAGATTAATTTGGATTGAAAACAACTTTTTCACTCAACTTTTCTATTAATCTAAGCAACTCATAAGAACAAGATAATTCAAATCAAACTTTTTCATGTAATTAGTCTAACCTTTAAACTAATACAAAACATGAATCTATTGACAATTATCTTGAAAATGGATTAGCATGAACATTACCACATTTAAAAACAAGTTTATAAGTTCAAAACAACTTAGGGTAATGTTCCTAGTCCATTTCTAGCCAAAAACCTCGAAGATATGCTGTCTGGGGTCCAACTCGTCGAGTGCATGAACACAACTCGGCGAGTTGGATGCATTTTGCCTTGGACTCGTCGAGTCCCTTCATGGACTCGGCGAGTCAGCTGGGCTGACAGCATCAAAACTCGATTTTTCAGCTTCTATTGCAGGTATAACAAGAAAACAAGCCTAGGCTCTGATACCACTGTTGGGTTATGAGCATTCTAACACTCCTAAGTGTACATGCAACCCTAAATACCTTGGATCTATGTTTTCTCTATTATACATGCAAATATGAACATCCAAGGTATTATCCTAATCTAGCATACAAAATAATGAATATAACAAGATAGAATACATACCTCTTTGATAGTGCTTGTCTTCATGAAGCTTGAGTGCTTAGTGCCCCAAGTGTGACACCTCAAATGGTTCACACAACACCATAAGCACTTGGAATAACTTAGAGAGAAATTAGAACACTTCATGAAATCGTCTAGCCCTCATACATACACATAGTGTGTTAGTCATTGTAACGATTTCTTGAGCCATGGGTTTCTTTTATATGGTGGCTATTAGGGTTACACCATGTAACTCATGACTTTACCCATTCCTTATGCTCCATGGGTTTTAACCTCCATGGAGTATCCATGGGTCACCCCATGGACTTAGTCCAACATAAGGAATCTTGGATCACAAGCCCACATATATAAGAATGAATGATTTACACAATCAACCCATATATTTAATTAGTCTTCTTTTGATCACTTAATTAATACTAGATTAATTCTTGATCAATACTAATTAAATAATCTCATTATTCTTATTATTAATATACTAGAACTTATAATATATTAATAACCGTAAGTGTCTTATTTCTCTCATTATAGTCTATCCAAGTGCATGATGCCATGCAACCCAAATGGACCATGCCGGGTCGGGTCAAGTCTTACCAATTATAGTTATGGACTTAGACATTAATCCAACAGTTTTGAGGATGTTTTCAAGGTTGTTTAGAGGTTGGAAGGAGTTTAAAATAAGGTGGTAAAGGTGGTGGAATTTCTATGAAGATGATGATGAATAGTGATGGGTTTTGTGGTTGATCTTGATGCAGAAGGTTTTGGGTTGTTTCATGGTTGTGTTTTTTTTGTTTTGATGTAAGGAAAGTGCTTAGTGGTGTATGATGTGATGAAAAAAGGTGGTGAAGATGAAAAACCTTTAGTTTCAATGAAGAAGATGAAGATGGTTGATGGTGTTCTTCATTTCATTGTTGATGATCTTGGTGTTCTTCACTTAGCTTCTTGTTTGATCTTGGTGTTCTTTATTTAGCTCCAAGGATTTGTCTTTGTTCTTGAAGAAGATGAAGATTGGTGATGTTCTTGGGAGTGTTTGTAGTTTGTAGGAAGTGTTACAATATTACAAATGAACACACACACACATACTACATACTCACGTATACATATATTGAGAGAAACAAATATCTTCTTCACTTGAGTGTTTGTTGAATTGGCTGCAAGTTGATGTAGAGTAGGAGGCAAAAAAAACGTGGGAAGGGTTTGCTACTTCATCTTTGACTTTTGTTGACTTCTTCTTTGTTTGACTATTCAACACATATACAACATATATATAATACATATATATACATATATAATACATACATATGTATATAATACAAATATATATATATATATATATATATATATATATATATATATATATATATATATATATATATATGTTGAAACTGTTTAGTCACACATATGTGTTTTCGTCATTCGCGTGTTTTCGTACTTTCCGTTTTATCACGCATTCATGCAACCTGAAATAACTGATAATATTTGTTAGATTGTATAAAAACAGTTCATCTTATTTGGGAGATAATGGAACTGTTATGATAATTTATTTGGAAAGGTCATTATCGTCATTTTAGTATTTTTAATGTTCACTACATGAAAACAAACCTTTAATGACGCGCAAACAATGACACTCGCTGATAGACAACGCACATTTGTAAGTGCCCTAAAAGATAATGTCAGTTTTGCAAAATTTGAAGGATAGAGGGCACGCATTTGTGCGCGCCCTAAAATTATTGTCAGAAAAGAAAAAAATAGAAATACGGAGGGCGCCTTTCATAAAATGTGCGTCATGTAAATGTGTCGCTTTATAATTTTTAAGTGAAAGACGCGTTTTAGGCGGGAAATGAAATCGATGAAAATTACCCCCGCCTGTTAAATCCCAAAAATTAATCCCCCTGCCTCTTCTACTTAGTAAGAAAAAGCCCTAGGTCCCTCATCTTCATCTTCAGTATCATCAAACATCTCATTCATCGGATCTCTACTCGATCTCCTTCTTATCAGTATCATCAACCATCTCGTTCATCCTCTGCATTATTTCCATCATTCTTCCCTCTCCTCACTGATCAATACCTAAAAAACCCTAATATCATAACCACTCCTCTTTTCTCGCACAACAAAATCCCAAAACATCACTCAATACTAAATTCCACAAAATCGTTGTGACCATTTTAGCTAGGGCTTTTTTCTAGAATGAAAACACTCTCGCATCTCTCTTAGCTCTGAAACAATGGACGATTCACCTTGCTTCACGTTTGGTCACTTCTCCTCCGGCGACGTCAGGCCTTCCTCATTACAAATCGACCAACGATAAGCTAATACTTATAACAAAATCATTTCTCTCTCAATTGGATGTGCGACTCCTCCATCGCACTGATGCACCACACCTATGATTGCGTCCTGTTTCACCTCCCTGGCCGCTAACTTAATAGGTTTATCTATTAAATGAGATTTTTCTTTTCAGTTAGAAATTGATTTCGTCCCCTCCCCAGCTCTTCATCTCTTCACTAAAATTGTTGTTCATCTATCCACTAAAATCTTCACGGTTTCCTTAATTTCACTCCAAGGGTTATTTGATAGCTCTTGTATGGTTTATTCCCTATACTGAATCGAGAGTCAAAACCATTGTGGTGGTTGTGGCGGAATCAAAATGCGGGATTGAACCATTGTAGCAGAGAGATCTTGAAACTTTTGATTAATACTTCTCAAGTCGTCTCTAAGGTAATGTGAACCTCTTGATACTTCTCATGTTGACTCTCTTTTTTTAGTATAACTATCGTCTTTTAAAATTAGGGATTCTGTTTGAATCATTTCATTGAACGACAGGTGAATCAGACCGTCTTCTCAATTTATTTGACATTAAAGAAAAGTGCGTTGAATTTCTTTGTCATGTCTAATTTATCTCGACCAGATCCTAAGATGGTTTCGATCTTCATCTCTATTGATGCTCTAACTTTTTTCCTTCAATGGAACTGTGGATTTTTATAAACCCTAGCTTCTACATAAACCCCTATTTTAACCTAGCTTGGAAAGACCACGTGGCTTTCCACATTTAAGAGTTCTTCCTGAAGATGTATTATTATTATTATTATTAAATATTACTCTCTTCATAATCAAATCATGGAAGAAAATGAAATTCCTTTTATTAATTTATTTGTTTATGATAACAGGGTGTTGCAATGCTTGATATTTCTAATTATGGACGAAGAGTTGATCATCATAGAGATATGCATATGGATACCGATCATATGTCTTATGAGGTATACAAAGATTGGTTTCTTTTTTAGTCAATTTACGAAAATGACCTTTTGTGTATATGTAGGAGCTTCTTGCATTAGGTGAGCAGATTGGGAATACTAGATCAGGGTATTTATGTCTTCTAAGTTGGAATTTGTTTCATCTGCTGATCAAGAACTTAGTTTCTGCACAATTTGTCAGGTAAGGGCAAATTGTTAATAAGTTAGGGAAAGAAAGTCTCATTTCCTGATTTTCTTTAGTAACTCGTCTTTATTCATTATGTCTAAAGAAAAAACACTTATTTAGCTTATGGGTTTAAGGGTAAGCGTATGTTTGGTTCGCATGGAATGAAATGATGAAGGAATGGAATCAGTCATTCCATTCCTTCCCTGATTCCATCATACTAATTCAACATATGATTTATGTTTAACAGATGGAATACAATGATCAAGAAAGAATCGGAATGTTGGATTGCAGTCATGGATACCATGTGGACTGCATCAAGAAATGGCTAACCGTTAAAAACACATGCCCAAGGGGAAATTACCAAAAGATGGTAGCCGAGGGGAAATTACCAAAAAACACCCTCGCTTGTGGGGATTATGGGAATGATGCTGAGCTGTTCACCATTCCAGATGTACACGGTGTCATGGTCAAGAATGCACAAGAAGAACTATTGCAGTGGTATGCTGAAAATGCCAAAAATAACCCTAAGATTAAACATGCAGATGAAACGTGTACAGCTGGTATTATACAAGCAATTGGTCATTTTAAGCTTGGACCAAGCACATCACCAAGAGACTTACCCTTCCCTGACCTTTTCAAGTTGGACGATTTTGACCCTGCATATGAAGTAGTCAAGTTTTACTTGTATCTGGAGAGCTGGTTTCGTGGTGATATTGAGAATCCTGCACAATATTTGTACAATTTGAAAGCAGTTTGTGTACGTTGAGCCACTTCACTTTTTCACATGTTTTATTTATTTATTTATTAATTTATTGGTATTGGTATTCTTACTCCATTCATGTTTTTTGTGGTATCATTTTTATGTAGTCTTCATCTGGTTCTTATTTTAGTCCATTTGGTGTTGAGCAATCTCTTCATGAACTGATTGGTAAGCTAGAAGAATGCTATGGGGAGAAAAAAGGGACAAAAATTCGAATTTGGGTTGATCAAGTTTTCCCTTCTCAGCTTGATTCAAACACATGGCTGGTGAAGTTCAAGAAGTTGGAGCAATCTGGTGTGTGATCTTTATCTTGGATTCTTCATTTTTACACTTAGAAAATAAAAAATGAAACATCATCATGGTTTTCTTTTTTTTGCAGGTGAAGAGCAAATGTGTTGCTTTACCACAATTATACTGATTTTAAAGGTAACATTTTTTGATGCAATAATTATTGTGATGAAGTGTGGCAATGTTAAATGTTTGTTGTTGGTTGCAGGATATGAAACTTTCACAAGGGTTGACTTGGGTTCATGTGCACCAAACATGGATGGATGGATCAACGAGTGATAACAAAAATTGGTTTCTTTAAGGTTTTATGCCTCTCCTTCCTTTGACCTATCTTAGATATATATGTTTATCTTTGAAAATAAATGTAGTAAGTTGAATCTTGTATTAACAAGGAATGGTTGTTTAGGCTGTTAGAACGTAATTCTTTTAGGATCGATTGATTCTATGCATGCAAACAAATATGAACGTAAATATAAAAATGAATATGGCTTGAATATGTTGAATGATTAATGCTTCAACACCTCAGAAGAGCTCGACTAAGAACTTTGACTGTAGAGGCGTTTTCGGGTTACAAAATCAAACGTAATAAAAGTTTTAAAAATATAATGCACACATGCATGCATATATATAGTCTAACCCTACATGATAATCATGGATGGACAGGCCCAATCCAGATACAATACAAAAAGCCCAAGACGCAACACAATAAGTCCCAACAATCTCCACCTTTGCATCTTTGGGACCGGGACTTTAACACTATTTAACAACTGAAGGCTTCTTCACCATCTTGAATACCCTCGGGATGACAGCTAGAAGATGGTACTGAAATGTAATATACCATCGAAGCATATCAGTGAAATTTTTCCTATCAACATCCGAGTTCTGCTTGCACCGATGTATCAAGTTGATAATGTGCTCCAAGCAGTCAGTGGAAAATAGGTGCTTATCTACCAGAGCAAACAAAAACCTGTGAGCTTCACCTTTAGTAAACATCATAGTTACATGTGTTGAATCAATTTTCCCCATGTTCATTTTGTTCACATCCCTTGGCTTTTGAGTAGGCTTGACATTCGGCTTCTTGTTCATTACTTTTGCTATCTCCTCATCCATCGTTGCAACTTCACAGATGTGGAGGCCAACATTCGCTTTAAGTGTTCCAGAATTGGCTCATATTCCTTTGAATCAGTGAGCAGAATGTTGTATAGCAATATCCTATCATGAGGATTAAGATTGGGAAGATCTGCTAAAGAAATCATCGAAACCGAATTTGTAGACCCTCAAGTGATTTTGAAATGAACGTTCACAAACCTTCCAGCAGGTGTCGGTTTCAATACCTTGACATTTATAATTTTCTGTGTACTCCATGTCAGGTATTGAGGTTGGCCACACTTCAGGTAAAAATCGATAAGCTCTCGATCAACCTTTGGACTAGGAAAAGGAACCTCAACAGTTGACTCAAAACAATGGAATGTAAATTCCTTCCTTGTGATTGGCTTATCAAACTGTGAGTCCTTTGAATTATCACAGTTGAAAGAAGCGATTGGTTCTAACCAATAGACACTCGGAGATTCTATTGCTTGACTGATTAGCACCTCTCTAGTCCACTTAAGAAACAAAGCCTTCTTACACTTCAAGGCATCTTCTTCTTCTTTATTCCGCCTCTCTGTTTCCTCTGCATCCTTTGTTATTTTCAAATTATCATCCAGTTCTTTATCTCACTTATTTCTTTTATGGGCTTCAGCAATAGTTTCATCTGCATCACTATCACTGTCATTGAAAATCTTTTTCTGCTTATATGTTGGACCAGAACCTGAAGCTACAGTAACCTTCAGTTCTTTTGTGACTGGGACATTCGGTTTAAGAGTTTCAGTTGTTACAATCACTTTTTGTTGTCCACCCACTCCCCCTTGTTTTGGAGTAATTAAAGGCTCCAAAACACCTTTCATCTCATGAAGCATTGCAAGGGCAGGAAGTAGTTTTCCGGAAAAATGATTTCTGATGGTGCGACTGAGAATGGTATCATGAGCACCAAGGAGATTGGTCAACATGTCCTTGACATCACTTGCACAACTTCAGAAGATAGCTCTCTCAGTTTTTAATAAGGTAATATCCTTCTCATCTTGATCAAGTTGAACTTTTTACACTTCAATTGTAGAGGTTTGGTGAACAATTTCTTCTTTTAAAGCACTCTCTTTTGCAATATCGGCATGAAGTGAGTCCAGCCGAGAGGAAACTGAACTTATAAGAGAAGTATTTTCGGCTTGGATGGAGGAATGAACATGTTCAAACTTCTGTAGAGACTTTGAAAGAGATTCAACTAATTCATGTACTTTGTAAGCATTCGTATCAGCATCCCCTTTAAGAGAATCGAAAAAGATCTGTGTAGTTTGAATAACTTCAGCAACATTGGCAGAGGCTTTTCTACAAGTAGAAGCCGATTGTTTGATTGCATCAGTGGATTTGTCCATATCCTTTGTATATTGTTCTATGGCAGTTTCCACAAAAACTTTTAGGACCACACCACCATAAGCTTTGTTATCTTCTAGTAAACAGTCCATCTTTTCATGAATGCTCTGTAAATGTTGATGGTTGACAGAAGCATCATTGTCATCATCAAATTAAAGCCGATATGGACTGAAGTATGTAAAGTCATACTCATCATTTTCTCCACCTAGAGTGGCACCAGAACTGGTTGAGTTGGTTGGAGAAAGAGGTTTGGTGATGACAGGAGGTTTGGTGTCAGTAGTAGCCCCCATATCAGATATGTTGACAACTACTGTCTGTTCAGGAAGTGAAGTGGTGGTGGTTTGGGTAATAATAGGAGGTAAAGGTATTGTAGAAATAAGGGTAGAAGAAATTGGTGTAGAAGACATACGTGGTGTTTGTGATATAGTAGTGGTGAAAGAATTTGTAGGAATTGAAATGGAAGTAAATGGTGGTGTTGAAATAGAGGTTGATGTAAGAGCAACCGAAACTGTAACTTTCGGTTTCGGGGATGGAGGTAGGGTTGGAAGTTTATGAGAAGGATTCGGTTGGATTTAGAGATCTGGTTGGAGTATTACCTCTTGGAAATTCCTGACGAAATTCCTCTTCTTCATCATCGTCGTTATCTGAGTTTGGAGGAGTTGGACCCTTGGATTTTCGTGCCATTCTTTTAATCTTCTTCGGCTTAGAAGAACTCTCTTTCTCCGACTTTCGGTTCTAGGATTTGGAAGGCTTAGAGTTGTCCTTCTGGGTTGTTTCCTTCTTCACAGTTATCCTTTTTCCTCGGTTGCTTGGCTTGTCAACTGCATCCAGGGCAGCCTGTTGTTCCGGAGATAGAAGTCTCGGCTCCATTGGAGGAAGTTTCCGATACCCAGCAATCACGTTACTCTCGACGGTGACACAATGATACATGGTATCTAGAATGGAACCATAATGTTGAAACTTTGTTGGATCAGAAAGAATGATCTTCTTTGTATGAAATGTAGAAATTGAAGCGATAAGGACATCTTTCATCATCGGAATTTCCAAAGTATCAATAGCCCTCCTCGTGATAATAGTCCAGAACCTTTCGCACGAAATTTCGGAATGACGAGTGGAAGCATTGAGGCTTTGCACAACCTGAGACCAAATTATAGACCCATAATCAAGATTTAAACCGTTGTAAAGACCATAGAGTATGGTCAGATGTCCTTTACTAGTGCCATCAGATCTAGCACTACGTTCCGCCAAGCTTTTAATCAAAAGAGTAAGAAGCCCATTCCATTAAAACGGTAGACACGACTTCTTGACTTTTGTAATGGTGGTCAACACATTTGTATATCCCATCTCATAAAGCATTAAGAATAGCTATGCAGTTGTGATGAAATCGGGTGAGATAACAGAGGAATCCACTGCAAGATGTAGTAAAGAACAAAACCTCCCTTTGGAAATAGAGGGCTTTTTGGAGTGGATTTGAAAGTAGATGTGTTCTTTGTGCTTGTCGTAGGTTGCAGTAGAGTAAACTAGGGACAAGAGAGACATGGGAACAGCTTCATATTGGGTTAGGGAAAGAACCAACAGAGAATACTTCAAACACTCCACAACGTGTAACATATAGGAATCATACAGGAACAGAGTGAGTTCAATGATCATGTTTTGATTTGGCTTATTGGAAATAAATGCCGAAGAAGTAACCTGATCTTGTGCAGAAGAAGAAGTCGCCATTTTTGATCGAAGAAGGAAGATGAACAATTCAAATTGCCGCTGTAGTAGAGAAACTTTGTGACTGGTAAAAGACAAAGAATCGTCGAAACCCTTTATATCCAGATGCTAGGAGAGATAAAAATCGTGACGATAATGACGTGATCAGTAAAATGTTGTCTGGAAAATTGATATGTGACAGGTTGGGTGCTCCTAGAAATATGTCAGTATGCGTACGGATAGGGACCGTTCACATTCACGCGCCAAATTCTTATCCTTAATCGTCTTTTGAAATTCAGTGTAACTTCAGGAAACATGATTAACCCTGTTTAAACAAAACTTGAACTAATAGCAACTAGAGTTGTGGAAAATAAAATTTTCGTGCAATAGAGTGACAAACGATAAAGAAATAAAGCAATTGTGTATGGGATGTGCTTGATGTCTTAAAAAATGACAGAAAGCATGTGATTCCGGGAAAGAATCGCTTCCTTCAAGGTCAAAATAGACTTGAAATGCTTTTGTGGCTCCCTGAAAAACACAATCAAGTGATTGTAGAGAAACATTCAAAGGCTTCTTTTCAAGATATAGGCTTAAGGGTAGTTTAGCTTCAACCGAACATTAATACTTAACATAAGATCAATTGTTGGTAGAAGTACTTGTGAGACCTATGTGGTCTGTTGAACAAACAGGTAGGTTATATTATGTAGTGACTAAAGAAGATATAGAAATCTCAAAAAAAAATGATCTTTATGGGAAGCAAAAGCCTTGGTTATAGAAAAATGCATAAAAGATCACGCAAAAATAAAAATTAGATTTCAATTGGTAACAAGTAAGATCTTAAGTATGATAAGTCACCATCAATTCATTATTGGTGTTGATTGTTGGGTTTCACTTAGCACGTGGTATACATATCTAAGATCATAAACACAGACTTTGTGCAACCATAAACCTCAGTGGTAAGAACCGAGAGTCTCAAGGGTTGCATTGATGAGCCGAAAGTAGATGGAGAATATAAGGGAGGTGGCTAAAGAACCAAAAGTACCTTCTGCTATATATATAAACAAAATGACCACTCAGAAAAACTCTTAACTCATATGAGAAGAGTAAGGTAGCTCTAGACCGAGTTAATGTTAACAG